AGGACTCTGGGATGCATCTCATCAGGTCCCATGGACTTCTGTACGTTTAGGTTCCTCAGGAGGTCCTGAACCTGGTCTTCACTTACAGCTGGAGGGATTTTACCCTCCTGGTCTCCTTCATGCCATTCATCGACTCGGGAGGGGTGAGGAGAGAGGCTGCCAGTGAAGACTGAGGCACTGTCAGTGTGGGATACAGCAGCAGACACAACCTCACGCACAATACTTTGATTCTTCCTCCAAAGTGTTGATTTGCACTGGATTTTTCAGAGCTCAAACATGCATAGCCTTACAGAAAAATACTTAGCAGTTACCAAAAGTCAGGGAGTTTGCTGCAACGCCTGAACATATAATCTTCTAGTCAGAGGATGCAGTGACAGAAACCATTTAATATCCTTCATCAGAATAGCAGACAGGAAGTAAGATTTTTTTTTCCCCCCAAACATCAAGGAATTTTCTACGTAAAAAGTTGGTTTTGTACTTAGAGCAATTGTGTTTTTATATAAGAACTCACAAGAAGCTGACAAAATATACAACATTTAATTCCTTGTTATTATAGCTGACCTTTAAGAACATGTTTTTAAATACACTGCCTATTTTCATTTAGCTACTATAGTTCAAAACTTTAGAAGCATGTTGCCATTCAGAACGTACAGAACAAACAGCATTGGTTCTCAGTCTTCTTCCAGATTACACTAGCATAGCTATTTTCATTTAATGCATAAGTACACATTCTAAATTAGAAATGGAGGGACACCTGGCAACCTATCTAGCAAGTAGGTTCCCGCTCTCAGTCACACCTTGGAGAAGGTGTTCTCTCTATTACAGAAGTAACATAAACTCCAAAGGCTAAAATTCGTATCTGTGAATTTTTACAGCCTTGAAATTTCATCATTCAAAATCTAACAAACAACCCTGTTTATATTGCAGTCATTGTTAACTCCTTTGTTAAAAATCTATTAACCAAGCAAAGAACAGGACAATGTCCAAACTTGAAATTTTTTTTTTAGATAAATACAAATGTCTGAATTAATACTGTTGTGTCTTCATTTCAAAAGCTTACTTAAATTTTGACATATAGATAAAATACCCGTTCTACATAGACACACTGATTCTGCAGCCTTCTACATGTTGCAACAACTTCCTTCTACACTAAGACAGGAATTTTGGAATAAAAAGAGAGCAAGATTTTACATTCAGGAGATCAGGCTTTCAGCAGAAACAAGCAAAATTAACTCTAGAGCTACAAATCACTCTTTGGCAACATCTTTTTACAACACCACCTGCATTTGTACACAGTAGAAATGAAATTCTGTATAGGTAAGTTGGCAAAAATGTCCATTATTACACAACAAAAGAGCACTATCTCCATTAGTACTAGGATGTGCAGTTGCAGCATATATTCCTAAGGACCTGCATGAGCTGCACAGCCCACACTGTGATGCAGACTGCTACAGCTACAATGCTGTTGGCACCCAAACTTTACAGAGTAAAACCAGCTGGGAGAAGCCTACTTATCCTGCAACTCAGTCTGCAATATCTGATAAAGTTCTGCATAACTGCTGGGATCTACCTCAGGAGAGCTCTTACAAAACAAAATGCCTGTTTCACCACAAAAGTTATTGAAAGATCAAGGTCTGCCTGGCAAAAATATGCATTCATTTACCTTTTAAAGCTGGCCCTATGTGCCACATGACTATGCTCTCTCTTTGAAGAGAAACAAATGCAATTCCATCACAAAGAACATAACAGAGTTTTTTTTTTTTTTTTTTTTTTTTTAAAAATATTCCCCTTTTGATTTTTAATTTAAGTCCCAGTGATATAGTAGTATTCAAATTAAGCACTCAAGCAAATGATCAAATTAAGGATGGTATTATTTTACATTAGTTCTGAATCAGCTTAAAATTGTGAGTTCAAAAATTATAACATGTAACATTGAGCTCACTCAATTCTGGTATCAGTAAGGATGAGCTCAAGCTAAACGGAAAAATGTTAAAACATCTTCTAAAATGCTGAGGTAAGATTTAACTATTTGTAAAACACTAAACTGCGAGTAAACAAATTATTCTTTGCTACCAACTTATTACCTCCGTTGGTTTTATCTGACTCTATAATTTTATATTTTTTAAGGACTAATGCCATTCTAAATATCACGTCTAAAACCAGGTACACACACATGTGCACACACAGTGGCTAATTTCACAGCTGTGTTGTGATGCATAGTTACATCCACATCAGATGTGGAGACAGGGATGACAGAGACATGACATGTCTCCATAAACATGCAGTCTTCATTTAGTACATTAACCAGGAATAAACACCACCAAGTGTTTGGGAACAGGGTACTCATTTGTAATCAAAGTCAGCAAATTACAAAAATACATATTTTTGAAAAATAACTTTTGGATCTGCAAGCAGCATCACAAGCATAATCATAGGCTGATTGATCCTCTCTTGGGGCATGCAGGGCCACCTAGACTAACTATCTCTTTGCTCCAAGGTTTGGGCTGTTGGCCACCTACTTGCACCGGACTTTGCCAGTTGGGGCCCCAATAATCCTTTTTAAGAGATGCGACAGAAACAGCACCTATCCAGAGTGACACAGTATTTCTGATGGTTTGAAGAAAGCAAAGAGCTTGGATGGCCCTGGTCAAGCTGCCATGAAGGAATATTTGACCCCCGCTCTTGTTTTGCAAAAGACCACCCTCCCACAATTTCATGGCTATTTTCTACTATGGCAAAGAGAAGACAGCAGATAAATGTTAAGCAGCCAAACAGGATATAAAAGAAGGTTTACGTATCCATCCGCCTCTCTCAGTCACACCAACACTTTCTCCTGTGAATTTCTGACAGGAACAGAAAAAGCAGCAGCTGAGGGGAGACTGACATTTCCTGTTCATGCTTTGCCTAAATCAGCCAAATCCTCTGAAGACCACTGAGTAAAATTTATGCATATACATAGGATATCTATTCACTAGTGAGTTACAGAAATCATAGGTAAACTATCAAAAAGAAAACGATAAAAATACTAATCCGTTTACACAATAAAAGCCTCATGTACCAAGTCTCAAAACAACTCACATGGGTACAAATCACATCCAGATACTATATCCTGCAAGTCTTTACAATACAACTAAAAACTTTGCATTACAATAAGATAGTAGGCCAAAGCTGCTTCTAAAAAACCCATATGCAGTACTTCACAACTTAAAAGTTGTTACTGATATATAAAATATCCTTCAATATTTTCATATTAAAACTATTCAACAGATTTTTACATTGTTTAGCTTCCTTTTTAAAGAGCTTTTTGAATTCTCTAGTCTGATTATTCAGCATAGTTCCCCAAAGCTTAAGAAAAACCTTAGTACAGTGCATAAATACAATGTGACTTCTTCCATGTGGGTGTACATAAGCTCCACCAATAATAAGCAAAATTTTCAAAACATACAAAATAACCACAGCACCTAAAATTTAGTTATCATGCCCAAATATATATCAAAGTGAAAGCAAGCAATGCAGATGGCACCACAAACCCTGAAGCAGTATAACAAGAATGAAACTATTCATTCTGTTTTCTGATCAGACAACATGCTCATCTTCTGTTCAGTCTATTAGTGACTAATCAGTTACATTCACTGTTTTAAACAATCACCAGAGCATGACTTGGGGAGAGGGATGCACACACAGGCAGAATCAATTTTTACAAGCAGGGATTAAATGACCTGAAATTGGAGTCCTTTTGCATTATTAGGTGTTGCAAACATTAATAACTTCATATTTGTAGCAGGACCATTTACAGAAAATCTTACAGGCCAGACAATAACATGAACCATAAAGCAAATGTGAAGTTTCTAACAAATGAAGACCATGTGAGAGAGTTTGCTTTAAGAGCTGGTAGTGAAAATTGTCATACAAATTACCACTACAGTGAAGAAGTGGGCAAAAAACTGGGACAGTTATAAGAGATATATGATGAAAAGTAAGCCAGATAATATAGCTTCCAAACACAGTTGTTATAATCGACATATCGTGCATTTCACTTACAAAACTAAAACCTTAAGCTTAAACTATCCAAGAATGTAGTATGAGAATGTATCATTGTGCCAGTTAGGCACACTTTGACATTTCATTTCTACATTACATTCAGGCTGAAATGGAGTTTCTGTCCTCTCTTAGTCTTGAATATTTTCAACAGCAAAACACTGCCACCTTTTGGTTTGATACATAGGCCTCCCCATTATAAACTGTAAAACTTTTTTTTTTTTTTTTGCTACATTTATGCTTTACAGAGACAGTTGAGTTCTTGTGATCTTACCTAAAATTTTATTCAGTAGCCAGACTGCTCCAGAAGAAAAAAAAGTTATTAATAATTGGCAAAGAAACACTATTTTTCTCACAAACAACTTAAGAAGTATACTCGATTAAGCCACATACTGGTTTTTTTCTTGGCAGATTTGGTACACATATATACTGCATCACACAATATCTTACACTGCATTCCTTTCAAGTAAAAACTTGGTAACGCATTCTCTGAACTCGTTTCTGAGTTTTGAAAGCTGATTATAGGAATAACAACAATGCATTATTAAAAATTTTATATTCCTTATTCTTACATATACTTACAGTATTTTATTAACTATTAAATACTGATGGCTTGACATTTATATAAGCATGTATTGAAATCTGTGCAAAATTACTTACACCAATGACACAATGTCCCCACGTTGTACATCATAATTTCGAATACTCCAGTGGCTTAAGAGCACTATATCAGATGCTTGTCTCCCCCCAGGATTCAAAGAAGGCTGTGAGAGGGCGAAAAAAAACAGCTTTAGAGCTACATTTCCTCCATCAGTCTTCCACCTGACTCTCATTCCATCAACAGGTGAAATCCATTGAAATCAGTAAAACTATTCCCACTTACTACAAGAGGACCAAGAATCTGTTGCATTCTGGGAAATATCTTTCATTATTAAATGCCACAATAAATGTCATTAATTTCTGAACTATAGTTCACATCTTTCAATGCAGTACTGCATGCAAATTAAATTACACAGGATACATACTTATGGCAAGCCTGGTGAAAGAAGTGATTGCCTTTACTGCATATTATTTCGTATTAAAAGCAAAGGAGAAGAAAAAACACTAGTTCCCAGAAAAAGCAAACTTTCTGCAGGCATCTTACTGCTTATACAAGCATAACGTGCTAAAAATGAAATATGTACTTGCAACAATACTAATCTCAGCACCCTTTGCAAAGGGAAAAAACAAACCCTACACCTACAGCATATACTGACACTGTCAGTAAATGTGGGCCTGATACAAAGAAGCATGAACTCTCACAGAACCGTGCAGTGAAATGAGACTGTTCTCTAACCTCAACATTAAAATAATGAAGTAATTAGTACAGAGCAGTAGGAGGTACACAGAACCATACATAACTATTTTGTGTGACATGGTACAAAATCAGGGTACGTGGTCAATGCTGGCTCCAAGTTAACCCGTCAGAAACAGCAGAGAAAGGAAGCAGCCCACTACAGTACTGTCTTCACAAATTTTTGCAGGGGTTATTTCAATACAAATACTCCTTTTACTAGACAGACATTATTTAAGAGTAATCCAGGCTAAAGTCTTTTGATAGCTTATTTCTCAATAAGCTTTTTCAAACTCTTCAAATACAATTACGGTATCTCCAAGCTGGCCAGCAGATGACCTCTAATTTAGACTCTACAGTTAGGTGACATATGTAATAAAGCAGAGTATTGAGACTAGGCAGTGCCTCATTTGTCGGTATGATAGCTGCAATATTTGATAACAATTGGTTGGTTGGTTTTTTTTGTAGCAGAGGTATTCAGTGTTCACCTTACAAAATAACTTGGCCCTCCATGTGTACCACCAGACTTTCACTGCTGAGATTCCCCTCCCCAGACTGAATGTACCTTTGATGAGCAAACCAATTGGGGTATAGGACTGAAATTAACTGTTCTCAACACAAGTAATTACACAGTGTTAAATTTAATTGTATTTTTCTTCAGTAAAACTATGCTCCCAAACCAGGATGGATATTTAATATTTATTTTTAACTTTAAAAGCAGTTTAAAACTGCTGGTGTCTTTTTACTACAGTGTCCTCATTCATCTTTTCTTTGCTAACCAGGTCGGTTGACAAAGACTTGTGAAAAACTAGCTTCTCAGTGTGCAAGAAGTAACGTGTGTGGGTCTTGAGTAGCTGTAATTCACATGAATAGTGAGGAATATGATAGGTCAAAAGAATAAATATATTGGGGAGGGGAGGGAAATAACACAATATGTCTAGTTAAACAGCAAACAAGGCTAGTTACATTTTGAGCTGTGGACTATAGGGCAAATTTCTAGTCAAGTACGTCTGCGGATCAAAGCAGATCACCCTAACATCCACAGAGCTATGGTCCAAGTCTAAGCTATAAATATATTAATACTCCTCGCTATTTTATCTATTAAGAGTCTATGCATGGCAAAAGCCATATAAATGAAAAACAGAAGTTACTTAGCAGATATTTGATTATTATTATTTTAATCAGGATTTTCCTGAATGATTTTCCACCTTCATAGCAGCTTTCACCAAAGGATAGTATCTTTACATACAAATTATTTACATATAAATTCACAAACAATTCACATACTCATTTTACCAAATGCAGGCACATATGGGCCAGAAGTTAACAACAACACTAAATATCAGGCAAAGAGGCTGATCTTACAAAGCAGGAATCATACATACGGTAGATTCTCACAAAGTAAACTGCTTGGTACTCCATAGTATCTACCTTAAAGGGCCAACAAAGGAGGTCAAAACAAATGGAAATTTTAAACACACTGCTCTAAAATATAATGTATTTCACAGCTGATACTTAGAAAATATTTACATGACTGTACACAAACTTTTCCTCTAAACTAAATCTATATCAACTTCATCTTACAGAGAAATACACCAGGTAGTTACAGTATTGCCTAAATGCATTATCCCAGTTGACCCCTACTATTTGCTGTATTTAAACAATCTAAATGCTTTAGAGTTTAAATACATTCAGATATTGCATAATCTTTATAACTTTCAGCACTCTAAATGTAATACTATATTGCTTGCTGGTTTTAACAATACATTGCTCACGTGGTTTTGACATACAGAGTGGATATCCAACTCACTACACATTAGAATTATGTTTGAGAAAAATACAACCATGTAGAATATTTTTTTCTTTTCCACAAAATAAATTGGCATATACATAATGCACAGACAAAAATACTCTTTTGGTGGAAGAAACGTAAGGAAAACTAGAAGGAGAAAACTTTCATTTTACATCAACAATTACATTTTTCCATTAAAAAAAATCATCTAAATCCTTCAGCAAGTCTTTCTCTAATGTAAATACCATAAATTGTGATTCCACAACAAAAAGTACAGAAAGAATTTATTGCAGGGTGTTCAGACACAACTAGTTCCTCATTACTTTTTTACTAGTAGTAAGGTCTCAGGTCTAGCAAAACAAAAGTACAGCTTCTGAAAATGTAGTCGACAAATAGGGTCACAAGGTCTCTTTATTTTTATAAGAAATAAAATAATACAGGGGCTTCTCCCTTCCTCTAGCTTGAAGCATTATAACTCGTTTGCCCAAGTTCTTGGCATAATAGCCTGCTACAAATGAGACACACAGGTCTTAATTTAGAACTGTGGTGCAGAAGTCACAAAACATTCACTCTTCCCAATTACTAACTAATCTAATGCTAAAAGCATGCAAATTGAATCCCCAGCCATATGATGAAGCCCCACAGGACATGAGGTTCTGTAAGCAGAAGGGTAAAAGCATGCCCTTTTACTATAAATATTAACTCGATAGTTGTTATGCTGCTAGTGAATACCAGAAGGTCACAACTTATTTGCTTATAGCTTGGGGAACAGAAAGAATATTCACATGAGCTCACAGGCTTAGGTACAGTAACCCTAATAATAAAGTTAGGAGAAACTGCCACAGAATAATCACCACTGCTATTATGCATAATGGAATAGAACATTCAATAATGTTTGCTGCTGAAACATGTGTGCTTCGTCAGAGATCACTGGTCAGGCTACTTGCTATAATCCTTGGTACTGAACTGGTTGCAATGGAACTTGCTTATAAAGTTGCACATACGCCGTCATCTTCCATCTCACTTGAAAACAGTCAATTTGATTTAATGAATTTACAAATTTATTTATTCTTGGGGGATTCCCTTTCCCACATCATTATGTATGAAGAGTTCATAATACCAGACAAGCAATGAAACTCAACAGAAAAAAACATAAATAGATATGAAGATGTCCATACGATAACAAACATTTTAAAGTATACATCCAGCATTACAAGAGGAGTCACAAAAAATCCACAAGAGCCAATTAAGAAATCATATTATCAGTTATTTGTGTCACTTACATTCAGTGTTGTAAACATATCACAACTCACTTGAAACCCACTGTTAACAAAATGCTAGATGAGCACATCAACCTGTAAAATCCTAAGGAATAAAAACCATCTGATGTGAGGCTTAAAAAACCCCAGTAGTTCTGGAAAGAAAAAAAAGCAGCATTGTAATGAAACAATTAAAAATTACTAAAATTATAAACTGCAGTAGTTCACTGTTACTCCCTATAGGTTAGGGTTAACACTCATATACACTGAAGTCAGCACAAGTGAAGGAATTACAACAGGTGGCTGAGAGCAACACAAAATCAGCTTGAGACAATGAAATGCCTGAACTCTGTCTTAACTGACTGGGAATAAATCAGAAAATTTGTATTTTCATTAGAACCTTTATTCACCGTGCTTGCCAGGGGGTCAGAAAGTGTTTCTATTGTCAGTAACTATGAAGTAGCAGTAAGGCTGGTCCAAAACAAAAATAGAAAGTGTGGGGGTAGAGAAAACACGCAAGAGAGAACTAGAGTATGAGAGTGAGTGTGACACAGAGAGATTTATTCCTTGCTTCTTGTCAGAACTTTTAATTTCAGACTCAGCAGGAGTCACAATGATGCTTACACAAAGCCAGCTAGACATTTTAGAGGTCTGTTACAAATTCTTGGGAATCATATCATGATATCTTCAAATTGAGACAGTAAGATATCATCAGAAGCATGCGATTGATGGATATATGACTACATCCTGACTGAACTTCACTCTCCCTCATACTTATAGCTTTCAGATACATTCAACATAGACCACTCTTCAGAGAACACAGTAAATAGACAGAATTGAACACGATGGCCAGTACTCCTTCAAGCTGTTCTGCAACAGAGGGATATATTCTTTATAATTACATCCCTGTCAGACTTAGTTAGGTGTCTAATAAATCTTGGCAAGAAAATTAGTATCTTACTAAAAGCACTAGGAAGTGTTTTTTATAGTCTGAAAAACATCCATACACGTATAAGTTTAAAACAAGCTTCTATTTCAGTGCTACAGTCCAGAACAAAACCAGGGAGGGAATTTTACAGACACTGAGATGTCAGTAAAATTAGACAGCTACCTATATTTCAGTCAACAGAGGGAATGTTCAGTCAACAGACACATCAAGGGAAGAGCTTAGATTTTAATCATCCACTGAATATATATTGCTTTCCCTAGCCAATACGAACAGTGCATATCCTTTTTTGTCAGGTTAAATAAATTTGAGCAGTGAATAACTGTAGTGTTTTTCAGATCTTCCATGGATAAACCACAGTTAACTACATGCTCTTGAAGTGACTACAGAAGCTACACTCCAGACCAATACCAGAGCACTCCCTAACACGTGAGACTTTGACTTCAGAGGAAACATATAACTGAGGTCTTGACCAGAGGGGCTCAATAGACTTGTGGAGTAGGGAAATGTAGAAAATTTCTTTCCAGCTATGGAGGTAAAACTATCCAAACAAGAATGGATGTCAAACAGAACATTATGTCAGAGACAGAGAAGTCCAAACAATGAAAGGTAATGTAGCATGATAAAAAAAAACCCCTCAAGAATTAAATGCTCAAGTCATGCTCACTAGTAGGAAAAAAAAAAATCCACCACATGATCCAAGATATATCTGCACCCTGAATGCTGCATGTGGCTCTAGATCCCAAAAGAGGCAAAAAATGGGGAGATGGAAAATGAGGGAGTTGTATTCGTCTGGTTGATTTTGTACTTATCTAGGTGCTGTGTTATATATTTTAATTTCTCCTGTCTGAAGATAGTAAAGAGAGAAAGAAACTTTTTTCCTGGTTTCCCACTCCTCTCTACAGCAAATTACTGGCTCTGCAACTGTAAGTCCTGAGATTCTCCTACCTTTGATCGGTCATCAATGATATTCAGAATAACATTAATGAAAAGGGCAAAGGTAAGTTATGTTAAACCTAACTTTTGGTCTTGGACTGTAGAATTACTGGAGTATGATGATTTTCCTTTGGCCCCTGTTCTTGAGGTGAGAGATGCCTTCTAGACCAGCTGAGGTTTCTTGACAGAGGTTAAACAGAAGACTACAGACTGCCACAAAAGGCACAATGCCACCGTGCCATTCCCTCCTCCCCACTGCATGCTTTTTAAAGCAAACCAGCCAAGCCCAGGTTCTAGCCCAGTTTTCTTCCGCATGAACGCTGCACAAATCAAACTCCAGCAGCTGGTCTTGATTGCTGTGAAATCTCTCTTCAAGGTTCTGAGCTTACTCAGATAATCAGAAAAGCAGGCCGGGCATCCGAGAATCGAATGCTTAGTCTCTGCTAATTGCAATGTTACAACATTGGAACAAAACAAATCAGTTATCCGTGGTGAGGCACGGCAATATGCAGTGCATATGATTTAAGATGCAAAGTTACAATACAAAAATTGGCTAACTACATTACAACACAAATTTTTCAAGTCCCAATAACAGGAAACAAAGTAGCTGTTCGCTATCATAAGTATTTATTTATCTTCTAAATGTTACACAGCCTATTTATATTTATTTGCTTACACTGTATAAACTTTCAGTATAACCAAAGCAAACACAGCAAACTAATATTTATGTCCTTATAAGCATAGGTATTAATATTAGGTTCATGCCATTTTCAGTATTCTTCACAGAAATGGTGCCATGCTTGTTCATTAGAAAAAGCAAGTATAGCAAGAACTGGTTTCGCCTTACAATTACTAGACTACAGCTACTAAAAATTAATAAAGCCTCTTTGTGAGTCATCAATTCAATCCCAAGAGACTAAAAGTAGCGCTCAAAAAACCAAATCTTCATTTCTAAATGACTAGAAAGATATCAAAAAATACATCTTTATCACTACTTATCTCTATTTTTTCCTTTTACTGAGATAGAATTTTAGCAAGTTTTGTTCTCAAAAGCATTTCTTTTCACATCATAAAAGCATTTGTTTAACAAAGTTGAAATTAAACTATTTCATACTACAATGTATGAAGTCATTTAATAACGTGAGAAAAAGACTTTTTTCTATCTTGCTATTGCCAGTGGACAGTCACTTTTTAATTTTCTGACAGACAAAAGATATTAAAGATATTTTCAGTAATACCTGCATTGATGCTCCTTCCACCCTTGCTACACAGGCAACTCTATCCAGGAAAGTCACTGTTACCGGAACAGCAACAAAGAAACCTTTAAAAAAGGCTTTAATGTATCTCTTCCCCAATCCTTGAGCCTGTGCCATAATCTGAAAAATATGAAGAAAATGGGAAAAGTCGCTATAAAACAAATTTTAAGTCACAACAACATTGTAGCAATCCAGTAAGAACCAATTAAGAATAAATTAATTATATGACCTGTTAGGGTCTCCCAATACCCACAGCGAAAAAATATGATGTGCACGTGAGAATGAAAAAGAACAGAAATCTTCATCAGAATTTCAAAGTCTACTCTATAGCAAAGAGCTCGCTACTTAACATTTACCCTTTAGCTAATTTGACCATTTCTTGTGATCCTGTGCTAGCAGAAGTACTTCATAAAATTGACTCAATGATACCTGTTCAGCTAGGCAAGACGCAAACTAATATAAACAGATAAAATCCAACTATGTATTTCTGAAAAAAAAATCCATGAATTAGATTGAAATAACCAATTACAGAGCATTCAGTTGGAGTCTACAACCAAAATTCTGTAAATAATTTTCCCTTCATACGCTGGTAATTGTTAATTTGTGACCCACAAATATGGATTGTGTCATGTAAGGAAAAGCTGGCTATTTGCCATACATTACCATTTCTCTATTAAATATTTTCACACATAAAAATGCACATATGCATTACTTCCACACTTGTGGTAACGGCAAATGTGTAAAATGAATTAAAATTGTCCACATATATCATAGGGACACAGAGTAACACAATGACTCGCTGTTCAATACTACCTCAGAAAGTTAAAAGCACGTTGGGAAATGGAACAGTGAAGTAATGACACATAGGACTATTCCTTTCCAACTCACCATTTATTATGCTATCTCCCACCTATTTATTTATCCCTGAACCACTGAACATTCTTGAAAAATACCTATAAAGTACACTGAAACACAAGTTGTTTGATTGTACTAGTTACACCTCTGAAAAGCAAGCTGTATATCCAGGCAGTGCTGCAAAGATACAAGACTATTTTACGTAACTGCAGTTTTATTATAAGAAATGCTGCCCTTCACCTATTGGCAAACCCAATTTAAACTGTTGTTTCCACCTAATGAAACCCTGGCAGGCCCTGCACAACGTCAGTTTGTGGAGTCCCTGCTCCCTCTATCACATCATAACTCTGACAGACCGTAATAGCAAGAGAAAACAGACTGTGCCCTGAACGTTTGAGTCTTTCAGTGTGTTTATGTTTAAGAACATGGAATTATTTTTCAACCAAAATAATGGAAAACATAAATACATGCAGCTCCGTTCAATTCTCTTACAAACAGAATATCTAGAATTCCACAATATAATAGTTTTTTCTTTGTTGCATTTTCAGAAATACGGAAGCGATGAACTATTTGTATGCGAAATACAAACTCAAATCACTCTGGTGAAATAGTACTGAAAGCAGTATTTCTGGCACAGATGTGGCTTCATAATCCCATTAAGCATTACACTTAAGAAAGGAAACCCAGTTCTACAAAGTAAGCCATCGGCATATTCCTCACTAAAATTCTTTATACATACTAATAGGTTTGCAATGACAGGATCTGTCTTCTGAAATACAGAAACATCTTCACTATTATTTCTGATATTCACCTTCACAAGATTTGAATCTCTTTTACCTTTTTTTTTTTTAAAGTGGAAATACTTCACCTTCATCTACAACTCTTGCTCATAACATAAGTTTGACTAGTAAAAAGTCTAAATGTACTTAGCATTTGTAATTCAACTATATTTTCTTTCAGCACATTTCATGAAAACATTTTCAATTTGCATCAACAGCTTTCACAAAGAATTTGAAATAGGTTGTGAAACAGAACAAAAATCTCATCGATTCAAGACAAATGCTAAAATGCTTTACTTCCATCTTACTGTTTAAGAGCTCTTTATTCAAATCAATCCACCAAAAGAGACTACTGCCTCAATCGGCAGATTTACCTTGAGAATTATTCCACATAGAGTCTCTAAAAATCAGGGGTTTGTCTACCATTTAAGAAACTATATCATTCCATACACCTTAACATCATTCTCTCAATCTACCGATTCCAAACTTCGCCTCTTCTGTTTTCTGGCTGGAACTCCACTCCTCTGCTATGAGGTCTGGCATATCTCAGACCTCCTCCACTCTAACAGCAATGTCAGCCCCAAAACACAATTTTGAGAGCTTACCCACAAACATATCCACCATGTTGTCTACAAGTACTCTTTGAGCTGAAAGACATTGCCTGACAGATGTATCACAATTTGATTGATTTAAGAAATCTTTTTAAAAACTTTAAGAAATCAGATGCATTTACTTACTCTTTAAATTCCTCATAGTCAAACCTATTTTTCATTACTAATGAAGCATGACTGTTTATCCCATCCCTTCTACTAAATCCACTGACAGATCTTGTTACAAACTTCTTGCAAAAGCCCCATGCTGGTATCTACAGAAAAATCTAGTATCTGAAGTAATTGGTCAGACAATCCACAGGAGACCAACCATATGCTCCTGGAGCTACAAGCTAATTAATAGTGACACAGAATCTAGCAGCCAGGTTAAAACAGCTAAGACAAAATGCTACATTCTCAGTACAACACTTGGCCAAGGCAACACTGGGAGTATTAAGTGGCTGTGGACAAAGCTAGGAGTTGAGGTCCTACTTCTGTGGTTTTGAACACATGCAAGGCACATTACGCACAAAGATGAGGGGAAAAACACCAACAGCACCCTACAAGCAATCGATGTGCAAAGCCAACAACAGCTGTTGTGCTGAAGGACATCTCTACCTGTCCTGAATTTTTTTTTCTTTCCTTCCTCTCTCCCTCCTTTCCTTCCTCTAGCAGGCAACTGATCAAACCATTGGTTTCATCCTACATCCACACCAAGATGCATCCTTCATTTCCAGTCATGCACTACATTCTAAAAGTTTCCTGGTTCCTCACCTCCCACAGTTAAGGACAGCTTTTTCCCAGGACACAAACTGAGCAGGCCTGTAGATTATTCTGCTCTACTGTAGAAATCCTTCTTTCCAAAAGATGGTAAACATGTGCACACACATTTTAAACAGTTTGAGAATAACTACTCAAAAAAAAAAACCCGTTTTAACCTTAAATCTTTCCATATAACAGAACATTTTTAACACAAGGGTAAGAAGATACTACATGCCAGTATCTCATTGAACAGTATGCACATTTTTGCCAGGTCTTTTTCATAAGCTTTCCCCTCCAAAAAGCACAGACAAGCATTTACCATTGGATAAGTATACAGAGTCATAGAATGGTTTGGGTTGGAAGGGACCTTTGAAGGTCATCTAGTCTAGGTGAGCAGGGACATCTTCAACTAGATCAGGTTGCTCAGAGCCCTGTCCAACCTGGCCTTCAATGTTTCCAGGGATGGGGCATCTACCACCTCTCTGGGGATTCTATTCCGGTGTTTCACCACCTTCATTGTCAAAAAATTTCTTCCTTACATCTAGTTTAAATCTACCCTCTTTTAGTTTAAAACCATTACCCCTTGTCCTGTCGCTACAGGCCCTGCTAAAAAGCCTGTCCCCGCCTTTCTTATAGGCTCCCTTTAAGTACTAAAAGGCTGCAATAAGGTCTCCCCTGAGCCTTCTCTTCTCCAGGCTGAACAGCCCCAACACTCTCAGCCTTTCCTCATAGGAAAGGTGTTCCAGCCCTCTGCTTATTTTTGTGGCCCTCCTCTGGACTCGTTCCAACAGCTCCATGTCTGTCCTGTGCCGAGAGCTCCAGAGCTGGATGCAGGACTCCAGGTGGGGTCCCAGCAGACTGGAGTAGAAGGGCAGAGTCACCTCCCTCAACCTACAGAATGTGGAAAGAGGGACAGGCCACTTGGGAGGAATGCAGGAATGTTGTCAGAGCATGCAGGGAAGCAAAGAGGAAGGCTAAGGCCCACCTGGAATTAAATCTAGCAAGTGATGTCAAAGACAACAAGCAAGGCTTCTTCAAGTACATCAGCAGTAAATGGGAAAATGTGGGGCCACTGCTGAATGAGGTGGGTGCCCTGGTGACAGAAAATACAGAGAAGGCAGAGTTACTGAATGCCTTCTTTGCTTCAGTCTTCCCTGCTAAGGCTGGCCCTCAGGCATCCCAGTCCCTTGAGGTAAGACAGGAAGACCAGAGAAAGGCAGACAGGACTTTCCCTTGGCTGAGGTGGATTGTGTGAGGGATCCTTTAAGCAATCTGGATGCCCACAAATCCATGGGCCCCGACGGAATGCACCCATGAGTGCTGAGGGAGCTGGCAGATGTCATTGCTGAGCCACTGTCCATCATCTTTGAAAGGTCCTGGAGGACAGGAGAGGTGCTCAAGGACTGGAGAAAAGCCAATGTCACTCCAATCTTCAAAAAGGGCAAGAAGGAGGACCCAGGGAACTACAGGCCGGTCAGCCTCACCTCCATCCCGGGAAAGATGATGGAGCTGTTCATTCTGGATGTCATCATTAAGCAAGTAGAGGAAAAGAAGGTTATCAGGAGTAGTCAGCATGGATTCACCAAGGGGAAATCATGCCTGACCAATCTGATAACTTTCTATGATGGTATGACCAGCCGGGCAGATGGAGAGCAGTGGATGTTATCTACCTGGATTTCAGCAAGGCTTTTAACACGGTCTCCCATAATATCCTCCTAGGGAAGCTCAGGAAGTGTGGGTTGGATGAGTGGTCAGTGAGGTGGATTGAGGA